AAAATGTATAAATAAATCTGTTGGTGTATCAGGTGTAAAATCCCTCCAAACTGCTGCTAACTTCCTCCTACTATAGCGCTCCTACTAGCTGCTGCAGTCCTGCAAACAAAGAGGCAAACACAGTTAAATGGATCAGTTTGTGTGGATGGTTTATTGAGTAAGGATCGGACTAATATCTGATCAATGCGTCCCTATCGTTGTGTCTTATCTGCACCTTAAAGCGCTCTGGAGCGTATTTACAAACCAGAAGAGACGCTCGTCCCACTCTGGGCCTTCGTAAAAGGGGTGTGGACAGCTGCTCCACCATGCAGCACCCAGATACAGAGACAGTGGTGTTAGGCTAATATTGCAAGTATTGTGCTTCATCATTGTAGTGGGTATATGAAAGAGCAATGTAAACATAAAAGTCACTTTTCACTGCTGCTTTGGAACACCTTTCGCACCGCACTTCCCAGATTTTTCCACACTGTTCTTAAAATTCCACTGTGGAATTTCGAAGCCAGAAAGCCGTGTTTGAATGCCAAAGCGCCATTACTGTAACAGATAGATGAAGCCAGCAGTGGTCTACATTTGAAAAGGGCTGGAGATGGGGGAGGCAGGGGAGGGGGCGGTTGAAGAGAAAGAAAGAGGCAGCATATGCTAATGAAAGCATGTGCAGGGAATGGCGAGAGCCGCGGCAGCGCTACCCCGAGAGCACACAGCAGATCTGTGGAAAGGTCATTGGAGCGGATTGGGGACGAGGGGGCCTCCCAGGCTGGATAGACTCTCTCTCTCTCCGTCTCGCTCTCCCTTTCTTCCTCGCCGTCTCTCGTCCGAGCGGGGCTTCTGTGCGGAGGTGCTGGTGAGCTGATAATCGGGGCGGTAAAGCCGTCTCATTCCCTCGTCTCAGTCTCTAATGAAGTCCCCGCTATTAAAGCTCTATAATTCTTCTGTTCCACAGTATACCCCCCACCCCATCGCCACCATCTCCCTCCTCATCCTCCACCCTTCCTTCCTCCTCTCTCCCCCTCACTCCTTCTGTCATTTTATGCCACTCTCCCTGTCAGCGCGCCATCCTGTCCCCCAAGCCCCTCCATCCCACCAATCATAATTGAATAACTCTGGGTAAATGAGGAGAAAGTCTCCTGAATGGGAGCAGAACGGTCACACCCGGCCCTCGGTGCATCAATCAGGGGGTCTGATTGAAAAGAGAGGGAGAGAGACAGCGAGAGAGAGAGAGGGGGGAGGTGGTCGGTATCATGGCTACATGTCACCTTGCCGATAACTCCGTGCCTCCTTTTCAGATGCAAATGAGAGGAAAGACAATGGAGTTTTATAGAAAATGAGAATGAGGTTGCGAGATAACTCGAGCCAGTGTCACGTCTGTTCCCTTTTTTTCGGTCTGTTTTACGACGTGAGCTGAAAATTGTGAGTATCTGTGTGTGTGTGTGTGAACTTCTGCCCACAGCTCAAACAGTGGACATCTGAAACACTGACTCTTCTGTGTCCGCTGCCCCTCACACACAAGCAGCTGATGCAACAGAGGCTGCTGGCCGCTGTTAAATTATGTTTGATATCAGGCAAGCTTCAAATGAAATATTGATGTGTTGTTGCAAAGGATGGAAACAGAGGGAGAAAGAGAGAGGGTGGACTTGTCAGCATGTCACCTCCTTATTTACCGTCCGCAGGTATCAGAAGCTGTGGAAGAGCTACGTGAAACTACGCCACCTGCTGGCCAACAGCCCCAAGGTCAGGCAGATCGACAAGCAGAAGATGACACAGAGAGAGGTGGGCGAAAGAAAACAAAACCGCCTTTGATATGTATTTTTTTGTTGTTTCTTTTCTCACACTCATAATTTATCAGTAGAAGGCGCGTTCAGTGGAAGCGCGTGTCCTGGAGATATGAAAGGTGCTGCTGCAACACGGGCGCTCTTACTCTCTCTGCAGAAGTAAGAGATTCGCAGATATTAATTACAAAAACAAAACTATTACCATTGCTGTTATTCCTGCTGTGCGCACTGATTCGAAAGCTGCTTATCGGAAACTCCCCGCCAGTACTCGCCGTTATTGCGGTAACAAAGATGCAATTTCACTCAACAAAAGTGAGATGCTCAAAACTTACAAAGGCAGCAATATTTGATTCCTTTTGTTACTTTTTTTTGTTGTTGTTGTTAAGAAAACGTGGCCACACTTTGTTGCATTTAATGCTTTTTTTGCAGCAGAGGTAATTTTCTACACATTAATACCTGGAGTTTTTCAAATTATGTTATTTTTTTTGTGTGTGAATATTAGACTTAAAGTGGTTGCTTTTACTTAAAGCGTAACTTTACCGCTGATTAAACAGTCCGATTGTCCAGCCGACGTGAGGATATTTAGTAATTTCAACCTTTTACACAGTTTCTGATAATTTTCTCATGTTGCTAAAGTTTTGCACTGTTGAACGACGGTGCACTGAAGAGCAGAGCAACATTAAAACATGAAAAGTTTGCACTATATTACTACCTTTCTCACTCTTCGCACCTTCTCTTCCACTTTATCTGGTTTAACTCCTTTGTCTTTATTTTGACGACTCACATTTGTTTTATTTAATTCAGTCAGCTGACCAGATCACCTGGGCTCTAGCATTTCTTCTGTGCAGACAGACCATTAAAGCGTCCCATCCTAATGCACTTCCTGTGTTCTGGGCTAAAATTCAACTTTTCTGCAGTCCGAGTCTCACGAGTCGAGGTATTACCGGCGCACCTGAATATTGTTTTATGACAGATGTGAAAAATGCGACGCCACCCTTTAATGCATAATTTAGTCGATTTTTACTGCTCAGAATAAAACGCCTGTAACTGCGCTCTTGAGTTGACTGTGAAGGTCAAACCTCCACCTGGGAGCTGGAGTGGAAAAGGTTTAGGTTTAGCGAAGTAATAACCGTGTAGCCACGGGGATTCATTGGTGGTGGTGCTGTGTGGGGCCTGGGCAAGCCGAGAACCAGCACCTTGCCGCACTGCATCCTTCCCGCAACTTCTCTACAGCAGACACAGCTTCTCCTCTAATTCTTTGAGTGTGCTGCGGATCCAGCCTCCTCCTTTGGACTGTTTGATACACTCTGGACCAATAATGAGCGAGAACTCGAAGCTCAATTAGCTCGTTTCCCAGGTAGCTCGGCAAAGCTCCCCGGCTAACAGGCCCTGACAATCCCACTGTCAACCTGCACTGGAGCAATTAGTGAAGCCAAACACTGGATCCATCACGCTCCTCCAGCAGCATTAGCCATGTCAGTGTCTCCTCACTGCAGCGGCAGTGTGGCACCGCTATTTACTTAATGCCCGAGGGAACGCTGAAGCTTCCTCTGTAAATGGTCGTTCGCTCACAGACTAAATGTCTGCTCATCTGATAGGCATTTTAAGAAGCACCCTGTCGGAGGTGTTCGCGGCAGTGTTGTGCGCCTCAGACGGGCCCTTTGATACTTCCGCACTCCCTCTGAAGTCCGCAGAGCTCCAGGGAGAGCAGAGGTGTGGCAAAAACTGGCCTACACACCCAGGCTCACGCCTCTGCACCCCCTCTGCATCTCATGCTGAGAGCACAGAGAGCTGTGTGTGTCTGTGTGTGTGTCAGACATGCAGGCAGATGGACTTTGTGGCATCCCCTTAGCCAAACCACTGACTGGTCCTCAAAACCATTCACACAACAACGCTGTCATATTTTTTTTGCAGTGATTGTTTGCAATATAAATAAAGTTTTTGGTTAAAATTGTTCCCAACATAGAGCGAATAGGTGAAGTGTGTCATAAGATGTTATTTGTCTCTGTATTAGAAATGAAAGAAAATGAAATACAGAACTGTGCTACTTTATTATCTCACATCTCTAATTTGAATAAGTATTCAGCCCCGAGTCAGTGCTTTGACAGTGGATTCAGCTTCGAGTCTTCTCTATCAGCTCAGCGTATGTGGATTTGGGGATTTGCTCCGATTCTTCTTTTGCAGCATCTTCGCAAAGCTATCTTAAACTCACTCCGCAGATTTTTTCTGTTGGTTTCGAGTCTGAGCTTCAGCTCGGCCACACAAGAACTTAACGCTCTCTTTCCTCAGTACGTTTCAGCATCGACAGGGATGTGCTCTTAAAGATCTCTCTACCCAGTTTTCAGACTCTCTTTACTTTAAAATGAACCTGCTATGTTTTTGCCTTATTTTCTGTCATTCATATATATATTGCTACATTGGTGGACGCTAAAATTAAACATGACTGAGGTTTCAAATAAAGAGGTCAGTGCATGTCAAAGTAATCCCTGTGAGCCAAAAGCTCAGGCATCAGACTGCTCTAAACACACAGTTTCAGACAGTAAATCACCCTTTAGATTATATCTTGTTTGGATTATTTGGATTATGGGTTAAGTACATTGAACCTCTGTAGAAACAGAGATTTTACCCAGAAGGAACAGGCATCAATCATCGAACGTAACATTAGGTTAGACTGCAAAATTCAGCCTGTGATGGTGGCACATCAGCTGATCTCATTACCATAGCATTATGATGTCTCTGCAAACCAGCTTGCAACCCACCCTTAACCTTTGCTGCTGCTAGTCATGTTATTTTTGACTCAATAGTATTTGTTGTGCAGTCTTCCTTCTTCCCCCCCTCATCTGGCTTCTTGCTCCACATACCCACAGTTGGAACACAACAAGGCCATAAACGTGGGGTAATTACTGTAGTGGTCTGGACTAAAGAAGGTAGCACAGCAAAGTTTAATAAAGAACCACTGGTATTCATTATCAGCATTTCCTGCACATCTTATGGAAATTAGGGCATCAGCTCTAGCGAATCATATGCTGGATGACCTAAAATTGCAAAAGCTTTAATCTTCCTGCTTTGTACTGGAAACAATATGGTAGGAATAAGCTACAGGGCCCTAAATGAACCAGCAAAAGCTGAAGTAAATGGTGCACACAAGCCACGGATGTGCGCTTGCCTTCCACAGTCATTGAATTTCAGACAGTGTCTTTGGTGTTTGACCTCAGCCTGCTCCAAAAACACAAACACTCTTCACAGCAGAAGAGTGTGATGATAAAAGTCAAATGTGCTATGACTCGTCTCTTTGACCAGCAGAAAGTTATGTCTCATCTCCTTCCCACACTGGTTAATTATTTACTTTTTGTGCTTCTCGCTCAAATTTCCGTCCTGCAAAAACGAAGCATTTACATATCATTCGCACTTCTCTGTGATTACTGCTTTCCATATACAGTGGTTGGCTGTCCACGGAAAGTGCGTGTGTGTGGTTGCACGTGCACTTGTGCGCGTGGGCGACGGTGTTCACTTTGATGCACAGTTCAAAGTAGGATGGCATTATTTATTCATGCCTTTGTTGTTCTTATTTCCTCTGCGAGTCGAAAATTCCTGGCGTTCCATTTTAGGCAGATCACGGCTAACTCAGACGGAGTCGATAGCGTCTCCGCTGAATGAAACACATGCATGCGCACGCACGTTTAGGAGGTGCTGTCTGTCAATACATCTTCCATCTTGGTTGTTATTTGTAGGACCTCTTATCTCAGACTCAAACTCTCCTTTTGCTCTGCTGAATCTGCTGTAGGGCTGACATGTTTGGCTGTTTGTGTGTCTGTAATGATTCCTGGTGTTGCTGATGGAGGTACCTCTAGGCTCTGGTGTGGTGGGCCTAATGGGCAGGCAGGTGCCTCAGCTCTTGGTTGCAGCAACTGAAGCCTCATCATCAGCTTTCTTACACCCAGGAGCACCACAACCACCACTCCCCACAGCCATGCTGACCTATGGCAGCGCCTCAATTAGCTAGAACCAGCAAAGCTGTCACTTCTCTTGCTGCTGTCTGCTGCTATGCTATGTGTATCCTGCCATGGAGGTTTCAGATTATTGCATGTGCTAGCCTATCTGTTGGAAAAGCAAGAGTCAAAGAAAGGAGGGAGCGAGGGTGGGGCGAGGTTTTGAGGATGGGAGCTGTCCCCGTAGGCTGTGCTCCAGTGGATCAATAATTGACTGGCTCGTTGTTTGGCAGGAAGCTCTTCAGAAGATCCGTCAGAAGAACACGATGCGCCGAGAGGTCACAGTGGAGCTCAGCAGTCAGGGCTTCTGGAAGACTGGCATCCGCTCCGACGTCTGTCAGGTAACGCCACTCAACTGTATGCATGCACATACAGCGTCGATTCCATGGATCAAACACACGAATGTACACATTGTTTCACAGCTGCATAACAATGAAGCATAACGCCCTGGTGCTTTTAAAGGTAAAGAGATTCAAAACATCCTTTAATGCACTCCAGAGAGAGAAACAAGTATAAACAATCTTTTAAAACAAAGATTTATTAATTTTTTTTTTACAAGACATAACAGAATACTAAATAATGATTATTTCAATTACAGACTATTTATTTATTTATTTTTATTCTATAGTAAAGAGAAAAAAACCCATTTTCCTTAAATTCAAAAAGCAAGAAGCTGAAAGCACAGAGTTTGGAGAGTTTTCGTTCAAGAATGAAAGAATCAACTTTGTAAGTGGACTGGTATTTATATAGCACTTTTCTCAAGCATTAAAATCCCTTTTACTGGAAGCCACAATCACCCATACAGTGCTTTATTCTGTGCCTTTAAACACTTTGTACCTATCGAATATAAATGCACACTCACACACTGATGGATGCATCAGGGTCCATTTGAGATTCGGTTTGTTGCCCAAGGATCTGCAGACTGGTGGAACCAGGAATCAAACCACAGCTACTTATAACACTTGTTGCTGACTGACACGGAAAAGCAAGGCAGCTAAATCCTACCCATCGTTGTCAAATTAAATAGAC